TTTTTTTAAGTCTCATATCCTGTAAGTAACTACAGAACAACTTAGTCTATTAAAAGCCAAGTAACATATTTCCCTGGATCAGTTGCATCTGTATCAGGGGAACATCAATCACATCAATACTTTGAGACAAATAGCAATGAAGGGAAATGTAAAATTTTATGTAAAAACTGTCTGAAATAACGTTTGACCTGATTAAAATAATTCCATCCTCTTTGAGCCGTGTAAAAATCACAACAGATCATTACATTTTCCTGTGCAGAAAACATTCAGAATTCGTTTTTTGTGACCCTTCAAAAAGTGACAAATGATTATCAAATACTGCACATTCAGCAGAACGGTGGGATAGTGTGCTTTTCACTTTGTGCAGTTGGTTCAATTAAGCATGCATTATGGATGTCCTCCATTGTCTTCCTGACAAGTGAAGAGTGTTGAAAGCTCACAGAAATACTTGATCAAAGTGTTTGCCAGCACGGCTTCATTTCATAAACTGAAACAAACAAGACGAGCTTTTCATCCTGAGGGAAACATGAGGTGAAATGACAGAGAGCAGAACGAGACCGTAGGCCAAGCACCAAAGCATTTTGATTTTATGGTAGTGGTAGTGCATTACTGTACCTGCAGACTGACCAGGCCATTCAAGACTTATTTCATATTCTTTACACACTCTGTCGCAGCCTGAGTTTTGATCGGCGGCAGCTTGACAGGCCAGTCAGAGAAATGCAGGGTCTGTCCATATCAAAAATACATAGACTGCATCAGCAGAGGTGAGAGCTATAGAGTTCGCCCCAAGAATAGAGTAAGCATTTCACCAAACTGTGGAAATTACAGAATATATTTGCGGTGAGCGTGGCTTGCTCGACCCTCGTCCTAGAGAAAGTCACAGGACGTCATAAAGTCCCATGTGCTTATTACTTGGCAGTGTTGAGAGTTTTTGTACAATATTTGTCTTCAGAACGTAAAAGCTACTGTCCCATGTGAAAAATCAAGTAGAGAAAACAATCCTCTTTCCTTAAAAAAAATTAAAAAAGAAATTAAATTAAATTGTTTTAGAGCTGTAACAGTATATTTTTCCTGCTATTTTGGCCTCATTTTGGCGACCTGTGTTCTCTCTCGGCTGTCATGTAAATTTACGCACCCCAACTTGAAACGCCCAAATCTGTCGCTATAAAAGTCGCTCCATCTGCTGTTTTTTAAATTCATTTTGATATGCAAATACATTGCATACTAGATGTCACACTGTTTGAGGCCATAGTGTCAAAGCATAGCACAGCGTCTTATATAGACCATGACTAAAACGTGCTCGCTGCTTTATGGTGCCATGGACTAAAATATTTCTGAAGTTCCCTAATTTAAACTCAATAGGAACTAAATCAGCCATATTCTTGAACAAACCAGAGTCTAAAGACCATTTTCAGTCTCACAGAGTCATGTGAGCTCCCTGGAACTTCTATTGCCCTGCCTCACATTGATCATCTGGCAGCTTAATGATCGTAACGCTGCATATGCTTTCGGTCCCAAACAGAGAGAGCCAGGGGAGCGGCCACTGCTCATTACAGAACCACCTGCAAACATACCTCCTCCTGACACATACACACTCACTGTTCATCCAATAATGCTGTTTTTTAGTTTGGAAAATGTGTTTGTTAAAAACTATAGACAACCTTTGGCATGTGTCAAATACATGTTAAAGGTTTTCAAGCAAATACACAACAGGAAAGTGGCTTTTTGCTTTTTATTCATTACAACTTTCAATATCGGGGGCGATATTGGTAGAGCACTGGTCTTTGAACCTGAAGGTTGTGGGTTTGAGCCCACCAAGAGACCTTCTCCAACGACTCCCACTTATGTCAGCTGTCGTTGTGTCCTTGAGCAAGACACTTAACCCCGCTTTGCCTGAAGCCCCCATTAAAAGACCAAGACTACAGTATGCCATAGACTGGCTGTCCTCCTGTGGACTCACCACCTGCAGGAGGATCAGTGATGGGCTGGTGCTTTGTGTACTGGGTGGCATCTCTGGCCACCCCCCAACCCAGAAATGGATTAAGGGGTAGAAAATGGATTGATGGAACTTTTGATATTGTTGTCATGAATAACATGGAAAAATGTTTTGATAAATACTACTACAAAAACTGGGCATTATACTGTGTTGTAATGTTGCACAGAAACTTTGGAGAAGAAAGTTAGCCGAAGATTATCATAAATTATCATGTTGGGACTTATCTTCATTTAATTTTCTTAAATCATCAAGTCTCTTATTTACAGCAGGAGCGTTATCGCTGCACGCTGAACAAAATGTTACTGATAAGAGCACTTCCTGCATTTGAGATGAGACTCATTCCAGTCATGTTTTTTTATGACTGACTCCAGAGTTGAGTTTTTGATGGGGTCAGAACGAGGGCATTGACTCAACAGAGAGGGCTTATGTAAATATGTGTGCAGTTTGTTCAAAAGAGGCCACTGGCTTGTAGCTATTAGAATTTAAATAATAAGCACACAAATATATATATATATATATATATATATATATATATATATATATATATATATATATATATATATATATATATATATGTTTAGTCCCGCCAGGTCTATATTTACCTTAAAATATAAATGTGTGTTTTGTGTGTGTCAGCTCTACCTGCTTGTTTACGGTTATCTCCCTTTAAATGTACCTCTCTTTTTGTTGAATAATGAAAGACACTTATTACCTCCAAAATGTTGCACAAGGCTGACTGAAAATGAAACATTATTTTGATGATTCTGTGCAGTGAATCTTCTATTGTGTGAATGAAGTACACTTGGCTATTCTCCTAAGTTTTGAGCGTGATTTTGGCACGAGATTGAACACCTGTATCTAAAAATGGTTTTGCGTGTTCACTCTGTTCTATTATGCAGTCTTTTATAGAGGGACACACACACATTGCTCCTCCAATCAGTGGCACAAAAACAGTATTTGAATATGAATTGAAGCTTGGGGGTTGCATGACGTTTGATTGTATTTGAAACTATTTAGTGTAATCCTCATCCCATATAAGAAATGTAGATTGTAAAGCGCTTTGTGACTCTGGTCTGTCAAAGGCGTTATATAAATAAAGATTACTTACTTAGATAAAACAAAATGACGAGTATTTAATAAACGTAATGAATGCACTCTCTGCTTTGTGACTATTTTTAATTTGAGGCAAAAAAAGATGTTTGTCTGTCATTCCTTTAGTACTTTTTGTTAGACGTTCCTTCGGGCTCGAGGGACAGCGGCGCTCCTGTTGTGCTTGACAGTTATTGGTATTTGGGTAGACTGCCCTGGCAGGATGCTTATAATGAGTGTCTGTCTTACTCCTACTAAAACAGGGGTTTCAGCTTTTTTCCAGTATGAAGTTGGACAATGGTTCAGTTAATTACGGCAGCCTGGACATTTATTTTGCAAACAGTCACTCAACACCAGGGGCGTATGTCAATTGCCACCAACGTTCTCTGGAGCAAAGAATTTTGGCATATTTGGTTTAATTTAATATATTATTAGAGTGTATTACGTCCAATGTCAGCCCCTCTCAGAGGAAATGGCAGGGTGAGGTAGGCAATATATGTCAGGAAATTAGCAAAGCAATTTTCAGAGCGACATTACGAGACACGGAAATGACCGAGCCCGCTCTAAAGGCCATCCCAGTGACTTCATGAGGAACATAAAAGCTTTAATGCGCAACCATCAACGCTTTTTTCTGTGTAATCTCTTTAACAAATGCTTGAATTATTGTGGGTTAGAATTTTGTTGCATGAAATACACAGTAACATTGGTGTGCAGAAGACTGATCTTTTGACTGCGTGCCATATCACACATCGCCTTGAGCTTGACATCTGCTGGTGGTGAGAAAAGAGGGCTCATATCGTGAAAGAGGCACATGCCCTGTAATACTACTGTTAGAGACACATTTAGCAGTGTGTATATGCGACAAACAATTGGATGCTTGACGATTTGCCTCTCTGGCACAAGTTATGGCTGCTGATGTCACAGCACCAATAAAACCTGATTTAATGAGATCAAACAGCGACTCAAATTGATTCTCCTCTGTTGCTCCATTGATTCAAATATGTGGTTAAGCGTACTTATGTTATTTTTAAAAGCTGTGGTATTTATGGCTGTGTTCCATATGTATTATGCTGATTAAATGTTGCCAATCAATTGTCTATGTTAAATTTCTGAAGAAAAATGATGCACGCAGCAGTTGGGCTACTATGTCAAAGCCTGTTGGTTTATTTCCTGATTGAATGTTAGTCTTTGCCAAAAACTCAGGGCACACTGGTGCTCTTGAGTGGACTGCTTTTGATCTGTATCTGGATGATGCTTATGAAGGCGACTGACTCTTACAAAGGGCCTTTAAATACAACACAGCTGCATACTCAGTGTGTATGGGCTTCACTGCTGTTTGCAAACATTTTACTTCCTCTCACTCACCATGCTGATGCTGTTAGTGTTCCTTTTAATAGCGACAGAATCAATGCATGTTTAATGAACGGTCATTCATTCTCTCTGTGTTTTGTCTTATTGCATCTTGTGTGAAAACGTGTGGTTGAATTTGCTGTGGTTCTTAGTAGGACGGTTGTATGGCTGCGATGCTGATTTTAGGACGAATAGAATCACCTTACAACTAATGCATAAATTAAGTTGCCTGACCAGCCAGAACGGCATGCTTTCAAGATTATTTACAAAGACAGGTGTGTCTGTGTCTGGGCCCCAAGCCGCCAATTCCATGGACCATGTTTGTGTCACTTTTGATCGGACAGACCAAGAATCAATCTAATAAAATAAAGCATTTTAACAATCCTGTAAATCAGTGTAAAGAATTATTTCCTGTTTCTCTGAACTATAGAGAAAGGATTGCTTCATTTTGATGAGTGTGATCTTGAAGTGAATAAAGCCTTCAGCCTAATTCATTCCGGTCTTTTATGTCGGTATCATCATCTGCATCTCTTATCTCTTTCAGGGATTGGGTGTTTGAAGCGCCATGGCTGCTGCAGCTCTTGGGGGCGCTCTGGACTTGGGCCTGTGGGCCACACTTCTCCTCATCACTTTCCTCCCTCAAGCCAGGTAACACAAGTGTTAAAAGACTCTGAAATGTGTCTTTTTTTATGTGTAGCATAATTTTCCTGTCAGCTGCAGTAATTTGGCTCTAAAATATGATTGTCCAAACCCTTCTCTCTCTTGTTCAGAGAAATGGAAGGTGGATTTGCAAATCTGAGACAATCAATGATAAAAAAAAAAATGGTTGGGTTTTATATAGTGCTTTTCTGGACAATCAAAGACATTTATTCTTTTGATAAATTACTATTGTAGCCGCAGCTGCCCTGGGACAGACTGACAGAAGCAAGGAAATAAATATGTGCCACGGCCCCTCCGACCACCACCAGCCATTCACACACACACCAGATTCTAGGCAATGTGGGTGAAGTGTCTTGCCTAAGGACACAACAACAGTTTGCCACTTTACAGCCGCAGCCGCCCCACTATGCACCTGGTGTTCCCAGAGGTCTCCCATCACAGTACTAACCAGGCCCTGGCCTGCACAGCATTGGAGGTCTGACAGGATCTGGCTTTCACACCCAAGTATGGGCAATGAAGTCTTTCTGTATAAAATAAAGCAGTAAATGTTTGGTTACATTCAAACAAACTGCACTTGATCCCCCTGTTTCCCCAGGTCGCAGAAATCCCATTTCAGTTTAACCAGGACCATGGTTTAGCACACTCAAATATTATTCTCATGTCACCTGATTTACAGTATTTACAGTATAACTTTTCAGACTTTATGGGTCAAAAGTAATAACTGCAATTCTCTAAAGAGCTGGTCAGACTCCTTCAGAATTAATGTTCATTGTGCAGTTCACCAAAGCGTTTTCTCTCTAACATCCTGTGCACATTTCACACTTTGTCTGTTGGAGTCAGCAAAAAGAGCAGTCGTGGAAAGCTCAGAGCTCGTTCTATCTTAGTCATATTTTCAAATGAAGAGCTTTTTACGCTTTGCCATGTTAGCATTGTTGATAAGATGGGATGTTGTGGTGTGATGTGGTGTAGAGCAAACAATTTGAAATGGTCTTACATGCTCAGGATCACTAAACCTGCAAGAAAGAAATAAAAGCAGTAAGACAGGGATTAGCCTAGTTAGGTTTGTCATGGTGCCACTTGGCTCCTGCGGCTTATTAGACGCACATCACACCTCATACTTAATTATTCTGTAATTACTTGTTAAACATATTGCTTTACAAGAGATCTGTTGACTCTAAATGATTCTTATAGATCAGAAGTGCCCAAAGAGGGGCCGGCAGACCACCAGCATATGTTCCAAATGATCCTCAAACTTGATGGTTAAATTGTAAGCATTGTTGTAAAAGATGTTCTGGGCTACTTCATGTCACGGCTGATTTTCTGAAGAAAGCAATCACATCATGTGGTTTATTATTTTATTTTCCAAAACACTTTTTTTTTGTAATGCAAAATATGAGCCTAAAACCTTTCCTCAAGAAACTAACTTGTCTTTACTCAAAAAATTCCAGGTAAGAGAGAATGTAGCGATATCATTGTAACTGAGAGTGTAACTCACCAATTCCCAGTCAAGTTCCTTTGAATATGTAGTGTGCCGCTAACTTAACTAATTCTAGTCCTGCTAACTGGAATATTTCTTGTTCTCAAAAATTCCCAAGAAATACAACTTCAAATGTGCATTGCAATCTCTACTATGAGAATGAAAAACTAGTTTATCCAGTCTCTGGTCTCGGGCCTGGTCTCAAGCCTGGTCTTGTTCATGTACATTCGTTCATGGCAGGTGCATGATCACTGAAGCAAAACCAATATTTTTGGAAGATTTGATTTAAATGCATTTGAAAAAAGGTTTCGTTTTTCAAAACATGACAAAATTCCAAAGTCCATAAAATATAAATGCCCCTGAGCCAAGGTAAAATGCAGGTACAAGATATTCTTAAAAAGGTCTACAGAGAGGTTTAACCAAAACATGAAAAGTCAAAGAATGTCAACCCCAAACTGCGTTCAGAGAATGGATTATTGTATCTGCAGTTTGTTTAGGGTTATGGGTTATTTAGAAATGTCCAGGACTGCTAATTACTTCTTACACATAGATGGTACGTTGTTGGAAAGATTATCAGCTGTAGAAGACCCAGTGATAATATATTAGAAACGTTCTATACCATTGCGTTATTCAGAACATCACCGTGTTGCCACTTATGTCTCTGATTAGATTCTGCCTGTGGAGCTATGCCTGACGGAGCAATTACTTGGCGTCCGTGTATCACATTTGAATTCGAAGCAGCGACCGTTTTTATTTATTTTTGTCTGCGGTCACACTTAACAAGTCTAGACAGAACGGTCGGCTTATTGTCCATTGTGTTTCTAATATGTGGCCAAATCACAGCCTAACACGGCACATAATCAATAGGTGTAAGAACGAGTGTACAAACCGTAGCTGGCCACTGCAGGCTCCCTACAACACTCCTGAATTATTCACAGAGTGGCATCACTTTGAGATGTGACCCGGGCAACACATATTGTCTGTTTCTATAGCGTTGGCAAGGTTAACGTGTCAAGCATCAGACAAGGGTAATATATTCATGAAAACAGACTGCTGATTGAGCTGACATAATTAGTGCAACTAGTCAGAAGCACAGAAGGTGGGCCTGTTCTTAAGGGCTGTTCACACTTGGTCTTTTGAGGTGAACTCGGATGCACTTGGGGCTAATTATTCCGATGTTAAAAAACACCAAAAATGTGTACACTGGCCACTAATCCAGGGGTTCTCAAACTATTCAGGCCAAGACCTTCAAAATAAGTTGCAACCCTGACAGGGAATCCATGCGCTGCAGTAATTATTTTGTGCTGCACAACAGACTGAAAATTAGACATTTTTGCGCGGATTGGGGACCAATCACATGACGGGAGGACATGCAAGGACCCAGGCAGTAGTTTGTTGACCATCCCAGCCGATGGCAGCAGCCACAAAGCTATCTTCACTCATGTTTCACTTGCTAAAACTACAGTAATCGTTCAGCCCCATTATGTAAACTTACTCCTTTACTTTTGGGCAGAATGTGAAACAGCAGTTAGCACAGCGGTTGCTTCACAGCAGGAAGATTCCACCTGTTTTCTTATGTGTAGGTTTCCTCCGGGTGCTCTGCTTTCCCCTACCATTAAAAACGTGTACAATAGGTCTGGCATGTGCCTCCTGTACGGCGACCCCGCCCTGGGTCTGTGTGGAGTGAGAGATAAATACCCTCAACATTTACAAAGAGCTTTGTGACTCTGGTCTGTGAAAGGCGCTAAATAAGTAAATATTACTTACTACTATCTATTCACTTTCTTTTCTCATCAGACTTCTGTTGCATGACACACGTTATTGGTTAGAATTGATATGATTTGCGCATATGTACAGATGCATACGATAGACATATGTAGTGCCCGATAAACAGCTTTGGACAATCATAAATCACACTTTTTCCACAAGAGAATGAATGGATGGTTCCCAGACCTCATTTCACTTGTGATATGGAGTGGTGTGTAAACCAGGCTACTGTGGAATGGCATTGATGAAGGTTTCAGTGTGATTAATCAAATCATGCAAACTGTTGTGTTGTAAACACAACACAACAAGAATGTTTTTTTGCATTAAAACATTTATCAAATATGATTTATAGATCATTTGGCAAACCTCACTTTGAGAACCATTGCACAAATGACCTCAGTCAGTTCACTTCCTTTAAAATAGATCTATGACATCATAAGGAATATTGCATTTACTTCTGAAGAGAACCGATTAAACCAAAAACACTGACAACGTGTCCTCCATCTAATATTAAAGCCAAAGTATGAAACTTTCTGGAGGTGGAGAACGACCCATAAAAATAGAAAGGTAAAACCACACTTTGGATTATTCTCCATGGCAATAGACCTATAAAATCAGGTTTATACAATACACAGTGGAGGATTGTAGCGCAAGGAACAGCATACAATAAAAAATAAAGAGAAGAATCTCGTCCCGGACAAAAATGAGTCAGGTTTGGGGAAGTGCTATTTGTGTTTATACATTTTTTTGTGTCAAAATGTTGATTCATTATTTAGTTCTCCTTCAACCTGAGGGATGAAACCACATTCTGATATTTCTATGATAATATTATATTGGTCTTACGTTTCTTGATTCCTGAATCTTAGTTTTCACAAATGAGAAGCTAAGTTTTCAGAAAATTGCGCTCATACTTCAGAAACCCTAGATGGATTTTTACGTTCCTTTAAATAATGCATAATAGCAAGCACATAACCAAGCAACTAATTACCAGAGCACTCGTAAAAACACAAGCTAAAGTAGTAAACAAATTAGAATATAATGGTTTTCTGCTCTCTCTTTACCAAATGTGAAACATTGTAATGGTAAATTATAGAGCATAGATTTATGTTATGCTAAATAACTACCATAATTCTTATGGTAATCCATGCTGCGGCCTGAGCATGACTCCATGAATAATGTTATGTATTGAGGACAGTGGCAATAGATCTGTTCATTATTAAAAGCCATTTTTCAACAAAACCTAACTGACCATAAAAGAACAAAAGAAAAACAATACAACACAACCTGGTTTAAACAATCTCCTTTGTGCAATTCGACCCCTTTCAAAGAAAAAATAATACTAACAATGATATTCTTCCTAAATATAAACACTTTTTTCATATGGGGCACATCTGGCCAATGTTTTAAAAGTCTCGCAGGTTAGAATCAAAGCAGAGCTGAAATAGATTTCCCTAAAGATGTCTGCACAGCTGCCCTGCAAATGTACATGAATAAAAACAATCAGTCCACACAAACTGGGCGTTAGTGGTGAGTGAGATTCAGAGGTATGCACACATTTGCTCATGTTAGCTTCATGTCTCCAGGAATATAATCCTGTGCTAGGTTACGTGCGGCTCCATTGTCTCTGAAATAGGATTGTTCCACCTTCTGTAAACGGCAAAGACCCGCATCCATGCAGCACACGTCTGTTCAACGGGGATTAGAGCTGTGATCACCAACGCATTATAGTCGTGATTCATTACAT